TTTCCTTTCCTACACTTTCTGGATGAAATGAAATGGTTTTGCATCACTGATAGACTGGTTCTTATTTGAGATCCATATGCCTGTTTGTCATCCATTTGCTCACCTGTAATCTTGACCCTTCTGAGATGCTGGAATGTTCTGTGGTTAGCATCACCAGGAAAATGTTGGTGTCAGAAAGATGGAATTTTGATGTTAGGGAGTGGATGGTATTTGTTGGAAGTGTTGTGTAACCTCTGGAATGCAGCCCAGCACGACTTGTCCCTCTGAGAGCATTTTGAGTTAGCCCGTCCACACACCGACCACGACGGATCGTTTGGGTGTCTGGGTTAGCGGGTGAGCTCCCTGTGTATCCACATCTCTTTCGTCACTCAGCCTCCCAGCCCTGCCCCTTTTTTGTCTCTTTGGAATTGTGTCATTACAGTCTCATTCTTGAGAGCTGCTCATGCCTCTCAGGCTTCTGACTTCTGCTGTTGAATTTTAGGTCAGGAAGGGTGCAGAAACAAGATGACATCACTACCTGTGGCTCCCCCTCACCCCCTGGGACCCCTCCTTCCTCAGACCAGTGGGGCAGCTGTTGCCAGGCACTGTGGAGGCCCATGACTTATGGGGTAGATGGAGGGTCAAGAAGGGTTTCAGTGTATCCCAAGCCCATTCCCAGTGTGATCCATCCCGGAGAGTTTTTTTTATTTTTTTTCCACTTTGAGTTTCACTGGGGCCATGTCCAGAGGAATGATTTCTTTGGTTAAATCTAATGTTTTTTGTTTTACTTTGTGGGATCCTGATTTTTATGGGGGGCCCCCATAAGACTTCTCATATTACCAGAGCTGTTTCCCAATCCCTATCTCCTCCAGCCTCCATCCTGGATTTCCTCTCTGCCTGGAGCATCCCAAGGGCATGGGGTAGGGTGGGGGTCTTTAGTCAGGGAGCTTCCAGACTCCTCCCTGGGGGTTGGGGGGGGGGAGAAAGCTGTCTCTGCTTAGCTTCCCCCAGGGCCTAGGGTGGGGCTCATGGAGAATCTGAATGAATGACTGTTACTGGGGTATGTTTGTGGGGTTGGGGTGGGAGGACAGACCTAGATATTCTGAGTTCCATACTTTCTCCTCTCTCCTTCCATACTCTGGGGTATGGAGAGGAAAAGAGAGGTGAGGGGAGGAAGGGAGGAAGTTTGTCAAATGCTATGGCCTCGAATGGGAAGGATTTATTTACAGTGTTGTCTCTCTCTAATGCTAACTGCAGAGACATTGGAGCAAACTCAAGGCTTCTCAGAGACAGAGACAGTCTGGGGACAGAGAGACAGAGAGATTTCAGAGATCAGCAGAAACACTGTAGGCGAAGCCACTTCATAGAGAGGCAGGGAAAGACAGCTAAGGGGCAGACAGAGACTTCTGTGTGAGCTCACGCTAGGCTAGCTAGCATCAGCATCTCCTATTGTTCTAGGGAGAAAAGTCTCCTCCCCTCCAGGGACTGGGCCTCACTGGGGCCTTTTTACGTGCTCACACACACAGTTCCAGTTGGCCTTACTCTGGTCTCCTTGGGACAGCTGAGCCCCTTTGTCCCCAGAGAGCTGGTCGTCAATGTCCCTTTGTGCCCCTTTTGCACAGAATTATTTCCCATCCCCGAGGTTTACAGAGATGCTCTCTCAGGGGACCCTCAGGACTGAGCAGGGGTTATCCTCCCCCATTGCACACAAGGCAAAGAGTTCAGCTAGGTCCACTGCAGCACCCAGGGCCTCCTGCTCCCAGCCCAAGCTTCCTTTTCTATCCCGCCCAGTTAAGATGGCTGCATCCTGCAATGGTGTATGGGGCTTAGAGGATAGTAAAGTGGGAGTGAGGGGGGCAGGAGGGGGCATGCAAGGAGGAAGTCAGACCCAAACAATTTTAGCCCCTCGTAAGAATAGTGCCAGGGAATTGAGTAAGAATGGGCAAGTCTCCTCTCTGGGCTTCAATCTCCCTGCTTCTACATAAAGAGAGGTGCTCCCTTTCACTGGTGACATTGACTGCTAAGAGGCAGAGAAGGGGCTGGAATCAGGGTGCAATCTCTGTGTGCACCATGAGGTGGTGCTCTGAGCACAGGCTGCTCCAGCTCCCTTCCCTGCACCTGCTTACACTCCAGGTGCTGACTTCCCTTTCAGTCCCTTGGCCCAGGAGCAGGTAACACTTCCCTGGGTGCTGAGGTTCTCTGCCTTTTCCAGTTAGTTGGGTTGGTCAGGAGGTGGAGAACTGGATCTGAAGTCAGAGGATCTACCTGGGTGACCATGGGCAAGTCACTTCACTTAAATGGGCTTCAGTTTTCTCATCTGAAAATGAGGGGACTGGATTAAAGAGCATTTGAGGTCTCTTCTAACTTGAGGTCTTTGATCCTAAGGAAGGGAGATCACACAATCGCTTAGTCTGAGGGCATGAATATATTCCCAACAGTAATTCATAACTTATTTGGTTCATGTTTGCCCCCCTGCCACTGAAATTCTAATCTTCCCAAGTTTTCAGGACCTTAAAGGATTACCCACACAGAGATTAGAGTACATTTACTGAATTAAATAAAAAAAGAAAACTATATAATCCAAACACTTGAGTCACTGAGCTCAGCCTCTTCTGCTAGTGTCTGTATCTTCCTCTACCCCTCACCTGTCTTGTGGAGTTTATTTTCACATGCCCATCTGAATGCTAGGGAAGTGCTCTCTAGCCACCCTGATTTCAAAGCTTCTTGGGGTGAAGGAAATTATCTCCCTACCATACTGCTCCTGGCTAGCGAGCCAGGCTAACACTCAGCGTGTCCAGTTTTCAAAGTCACTGTTCTCAGCATCTGGCTGCTGAGAGGTAGGCAAGTTTACCACTAGACATCTCAGTCAGCTGAATGAGGTCAGATGCAATCTCTCATGCTTTTTTTCAGGTCTCTGGCCTATTTCTCTGACATTTCTGCCAAACAGCCTCTCCAGTCCAGAGAGAGAGAAGAAGAAGAAGAGAAGAGAGAGAGAGGTTGGGAGTGGGGGTGGGGTGGGGATGAGAGACAGAGAGAGAAAGAGAGCACACACTGTCAGCCCCTTCTGAGCTCAAGATCTGACCTAACCCTGACAGATGTCCTTTATAACAGCCGAACTTCTCCATCCCGACTTCTATCTCTTTGGCATTTAATGAAAATATGAAGAGCAAAGACAGGTGTAAAGTTAAAATGAGGAAGTCAGCATAAATCAGGGGTTTCTTAACCTGGTGCCCATGAATCTGGGTTTTAAAAAATATTTTGGTAACTGTATTTCAACATTTTTTTCCCTTGTATTTCTATGTATTTTATTTTATAGACTTGAAAACATTTTTCTGAGAAGGAATCCATAGGGTTCATTAGACTGACCAAGGGACCGATAACACAGAAAAAACTGAAGAATCCCTGGAGCAGCTTGTAGGGGTCCTTCCGGCTCTGCCCTGATTGTTCCAGTTAGGTTAGGGGATTGCCCCAATCAGCTTTTAATCAACCAGTTGTTAAGTGTCTACTCCGATTCAGGCACAAAGGCAGAAACGAAACAGTCCCCGGCCTCCAGGAACTGCGATGGATTCCACTAAAGGGAAAAACCCGTACACATGAAAGTACAGACCAAATAAATACGAAGTAATGGGGGAGGGGCAGGAAAGGCTTTGGGTAGGATGCAATGTTTTCGCTTTAAAGGAAAGGAAGGATTCGAAGAGATGGAGGTGAGACACAGCCTGGGGACAGGGAGATGGGGGAGCGCGCTCTGGAGACCAGACGGCAGTTCTGACGGAGGTGGGGGCCCTTTTTAATTGGGGGGGATGGCTTACTGAGTAGGGAATGGGGAGACAGCGACCTTCAGCAGAGACCAGCGAATGCGTACCGCGTGCGTACACACACCTGTCTAGGCACAGTGACTGGGTGGGGGTGGGGGGCATTTCCCTGGCAGCCTCGCCCCAGGATATTGTGGTCAGGGAAGCGGGGCTGCTTGCCCAAGGTCACCGCGGCCAAGCTCAGTCGAGGGTCGAGGACTGAATCACCCTCCTGGAGCCACGTCCAGACCGAAGCTTGCCGGGGGCGGGGGACAAAGGGACATTGAGCCTTCCGGGCTGCCCCCAGCTCAGACCCAGAATTTCGACCATGGGCCGAGGATCTACTCGCCCAGAATTTAGGGTAATAGGATTTAGAGATGGAGGGCCCGATTGATCATCTAGCCTCCCCTCCCCGCCCCCATTTAAAAGAGGAGGAAACTGAGGTCCAGAGGTTTTGTAAGGTTGCAGGAACGAGCTAAGGACAAGCTCTACTCCTTTGGAAGTAAGATGGGGATGTGTTTTCAGCACTGCTCGCTACTGGGGACACGGCTGGCTACTGTCATATTTTGGACGTTTGCGTGTGTTTCGTGCCCGCACCCGCTCATTCCGCATTACCCCTTCCAATCCCGTTCTCCACGCCCTTCGGCCAACCACGTGATATTCCCCCGCCCGCTTTTCCCAATGCCTGTGGGCAGGTGATTATGGCCTCGCCCCACCCCCTCCACATTAAGGCACTAATCAACGTCGAGCATCTCTGGACAGGCAAGGGCTTCAACCACTGACGGGAGAGAGGGGGAAAACAAGTCACGGTCGTGGAAGGAAAAATTGGTGGCCCGAAGCAATCAGCCTCGAATACACCTCGACCGACGGGGTGGCCAGCCAATGAACGCAGAGGGAGGCGGGGCTTCGCCTGCGCGCCGGGAGCAGAGCAGGCCCGAACTCAAAAAGGGCCATGGCTGGACCCTATCAGACTTGACTTTGTTGCCAAGCGGCAATGCGCCGGGAGCGCGCACAAGGGAGGAGGGGCAGGGAGAAGCAGTCCAGTCAGCGCCAATCAAGGTCCACCTCAGCGGGCGAGGGGGCGGGACTGGCACCTGAGTGACAGGCAGAAATGCCAATGAGGAAGCTGGGGGGGCGGGGCGGGGTTGCTCCCCCTATCGGGAGGGGGCGGCGGGTGACGGGCGGGTCCCTCCCCCAATGAGAGGCGGGGGGAGGCGGGTTCGCGCCGCCATGTCGCGGAGGCTGCTGCCCCGGGCGGAGAAGCGGCGGCGGCGGCAAGAGCAGCGGCAGCAACTGGAGGAGCCGCAGGAGCATCAGGAACCACAGCAGCTGCAGCGGCGGCGCCGGCGGGCAGCGGGAGCCATGGTGAAGATGGCGGCGGCGGGCGGTGGCGGCGGCGGCGGTCGTTACTACGGTGGAGGCGGAGGAGGCGGTGGTGGCGGCAGCGAGGGCGGCCGGGCCCCAAAGCGACTAAAGACGGACAACGCTGGCGAGCAGCACGGAGGCGGCGGGGGAGGAGCCGGGGCGGCGGGCGGCGGCGGCGGCGGCGGAGGGGTGAGGCGGGGCCGGGGCCTAGCGGGGCTGACGGACGGGCGGGCGGGCTGAGGGCCTCATTTTGGGTCGGGCGAGGGCGCGCCGGCCTCGAGCCGTTGGGGCCGCGGGGGGAGGGGCGAACGTTTTCAGGGAAGCTCGAGCCGGCTGGGCTCGCGCTGCGGGAGCCGGCGCTGCGCGTGCGCGGGGCCGCCGAGGCGTGTGCTCCTGGGGCGGGGGAGGGAGGATGGTTGGAGTGGCCGCTGGCGCTCGCCTCCACAATTTGCGCCTGCGCGCTCTGCTCGCGTGGGTGGCAGTTGGGTGGCTGCGCGCGCAGGCTTGTGGGGGGGGCCGATGCTAATGCTCGGCTCGATTTTTGCGGCTGCGCGATAGGCCTGCCATCCATCTGGTCGTCTGTTGGTAACACGTGGTGGTACCTTTCTCTTTCTGTGGCTGGAGCTTGTAGAAGCTACGCATGTTGCCATGGTCTTAAATATCTACTCTCTAAGTAGCTAATGCCTCCCCCCACCCCAGTCGTGGCTCCCTGGCTGAGGGGGCCGTGTTGGCCTGCCCCCCCACGTAGAGTGGCAGCGCCTTGGTTCCAGGTCCCGGGCCTCCCCCCTGTAGCCCTTAGGGGTCCCCTAATCTCTCTCCATTTCAGTTTCCTCATCTGACGAGCTTCCTTCCTGCTCGCGCCTTGTGTCCCATTCATCATACAGCCCCCTCCTTCCTTCCTCCCTGTCTGCCTCCCGCTCCTCCCACCCCTAGCCAAATGGAGGAGGAATAGAGATTAGCAGTCATCCCGAAGCCCCTGCCAGGCCCCTTTATCTAGTTAAGAAATAGAAGCTTTTTTGCCCCTGTTTTAGACATGTCAAGGCATTAGGGGATTTTTCTTTTGTTTCTGGTGTGGGGCTACTGCTGTTTGAAGGCTGCAGCTCTGTTTTTCCTTGAGCACTGTGGATGACCACTGAGGATCTTCGATTGTAAAGGGGAGGAGCTCGAGTGGGCCATTCAGTGAGCTACTGACCCCCTTTAGTGGGGGTGGGCCTGGGCTGCTCTTTGTCTGAAATTTAACTTTTCCTGCAGACTGTAATTGGCTAATCCCTGAGTTTTAGAGGGGACCTCTCTTATCCTTTGACCTAGTGAGATAGTTCCCTTTAAGGAGACAAGCAGGGAACTAGACTTGGAGCCAGGAAGATCAGAGTTCAAATACTGCCCCAATCACTAGCTAGCTGTGTGACCTTGGGCAAGTTACTTAAGCTCTTTCAGCCTCAGTTTCCTTCATCTGTAAAATGAGAAGCTGCACCTGATGGTCTCTGAAGACCCTTCTGGTTCTCAATCTCTGATTCTTGGGTGGAAGAAGGATAGGGTAGCCTAGGAGTGAGCTGTTCCTGAGCAGGAGTGGGATGGGTGACCTTCCAGGCTCCCATCTTCCCCAATGTTTTTAGCTATGAGATTCCATGGGAGTGTGGCCAAGGCAAACAGGACCTCGGGATGTTGGCAGGCTGTGAGTACAGCCTGGTTTGAAGCAGGACAGAGCACAGGGTTGTCCTTGTATGGGCTCTGCTTCCTCCTCCCTTTTTGTTTTCAATCTCGTCGTAGTTACAGTCTAAGGTCTCCAAATAACTTGTTTCCTCTCTTCAGGCTCCACCTTTACTTGGAGAAGCATGCTATGTTGCTGTGACCTGGGGATGGGGAGGGGGCCAGAGAGCTTCCTTCATCAGGGGCTTTGCCTCAGCTGTTTATTTTTCTAAATTTGCTTTATTGATGGCCTTTGTCTTTACGTCACAGTCATTTCTTGACTGATCTTTTGAATGTGAGGTATTTTGGATTCTCTGGTAGTTTCTGTAAGCGAACAGTAGCTTACAGGGAGAAAATGAAACAGGGCCTTGTTTCCTTTCTTCAGGAAAATTACGATGACCCCCACAAAACCCCAGCTTCCCCGGTCGTCCACATAAGAGGCCTGATTGATGGTGTGGTGGAAGCTGATCTTGTGGAGGCCTTGCAGGAATTTGGGCCTATCAGGTATGGTGGGATTGGGGGGGGGGGGGGGGCTGAAGAAATCTTGATGATTTCGGTATTCTCTTTCCTAGCCAAGTCTAGCCGATGGTGCTCTGCTTGCTGCTCATAATCTTGATGTAATCATTTGTTACCCTTAGGAGCGAGTACAGAGGAGAAGAAATCTCTTTTCTGTTTTTAAATTGCAGTTTTTTCAGTTAACAGAAATCTCTTTTTTCTCCCTACTCACACCCTCTCAATTGGGAGTAAAGGAAAAACAAAGCCCTGGTAACCAATGATGCATAATCAACCAAAATCCCATGTCGGCCGTGTCCAAAACAAGTCTCATTCTGTACCCTGAGTCTGTTACCTCTCCGTCATGAGGCAAGAAGCATGGATTTCTTTGGTTCTTTGAAATCATGGTTGGTCACTGCATTGACCAGTATTCTGAAGCCTTCCAAAGCTGTTTGTTTTTATATTATTGCTTGTTACTGTCTAAATTGTTCTCCTGGTTCAGCTCACTTCACTCTGTATCATTTTGTACATGTTTTCCCCAGATTTTTCTGAAAACATCCCCTTCATCATTTCTTACAGCACAACAGTTTTCCATCATGTTCCTATTCCATAATTGGTTCAGCCATTCCTCAATTGATGAGCACCCAAACAGAGCTGCTTTAAATATTTTTGTACACATAGGCCCTTTCCCTTTTTTGAACTCTCAGTTTCGTAGTGGTTTCTGTTTCAAAGGGTATGTACGGTTTTGGTGACTTTTTGAGCGTTAGTCCAAATTGCTTTCTAGAAGGGCTTCACTAATTCAGAGTTCCACCAATAGTGCATTAATGTGCCCGTTCCCTGCTGAGATCAGGACACAAAAATGTAGCAGCAAGGCCTTCCAACATTTGTCATTTTTTTTTTTAATCAACTTTGCTAATCTGATAAGTGTGAGTTAGGACCTCAGAGTTGCTTCAATTTAACATTGCCCTAATTATTAGTGGTTTGGAGCATTTTTTTCAGGAGGCTATTGATAGCTTAGGGGTAGCTAGGTAGCTTAGTGGATAGAGGACTGGGCCTGGAGTCAGGAAGACTCAACTTTGAGGGTTCAGATCTGGCCTCAGACACTAGCTGTGTGACCCTCAGCTAGTCACTTAACCTTTTGCCTCAGTTTCCTCATCTGTAAACTGAGTTGGAGAAGGAAATGGCAAACCACTCTAGCATCTTTGCCAAGAAAAAACCCCAAATGGGGTCACGAAGAGTCGGACATCACTGAACAAAACTGATAGCTTGGATTTCTTTTTGGGAACATTTGGCCTATTTATGTCCTTTGACCATTTATCAGTTGGGGAATGGTTTTTCTACCAAGGCCTGGGTGCCGGTATTCCATGCCTTTGCCTATTGCTGCTACTTGGGTTGACAGCACCCCATTTTTTTGTCCTGGTCTCAGCAGTTCAGCTCATGCGTGTGGTTTATATGCCTAAGTAAACTTAACCAAAGAGAGAATTGGATTTTCCAGTTTTGCTCTTATGATTCAGTTGACTCGGCAGGTTTGTCATTCTTTCTCAGGCCTATGCCTTGACAAGTCTATGTCATCCACATTATTCCCCAAATCTCTGAGCTTTAGCTTATGTGTTTTTAGGAGGGGTCGGGGTCCCAGATTTGTTGTAGAGTGGGAGGTTCACTGGATTTCTGGAGTCAGAGTCTCAGGTTTGGATCTCCCCCTGAGCTGCTTCACTTGGCTGTTTATGGGACCTTGGCCAAGTAACTTAAGCCCCATAGGACCTTACTTTCCTCATCTGCAAAATGTGAGGGTTGGACAGAAGTGTCCATTCTATGATCCACCGGTTGTATGTTTTTAGTTTCTGGTCAGAGTTAGCCACCTTCACATCAGTTCAGTTCAGAAAGCCTGTCCGTACCTGGACTTCCTCTCCTCTTATTCCTGCCCTCTTGGTGTCCAGAGGCCCTGCTCGGCCCTTTTGAGTGGCGCCAACACAGGCCTGCCTGATGCACTGTGGCCTTCTCCCCCACTCAGTGTGTGGTGAGTGTTTTCACTTTAGAGGCAGCCTCCAGTGAGCCCCTCTTGGACCCCTGTCCTACCAAGAGTCAGTCCTGTAATTCACTATCACATTTGGGGACTAGAGGATTTGGGGGGCAAAACAATATGTTGTAGGCCGAGAGATGGTTTGGCTTCTTATCCAGTGCCTTCAGCCCAGAAGAGTCAGGTGACTCTCCTTCCCACGAGGTCTGTCGTCCTGACTTGCGGGGTTTTTCTCCATGTGTGTTCTGGTACCCACATTCATTTTTGGGGAGGCAGTGCCAGCCATCGGGCTTGCTGCTTCCTGACAGTGTCTCCTCTTCTCTCCTCTAGTTATGTGGTGGTGATGCCTAAAAAGAGGCAGGCTCTGGTGGAGTTTGAGGACATCCTGGGGGCCTGCAACGCTGTGAACTATGCAGCGGACAACCAGATCTACATTGCCGGCCACCCTGCCTTTGTCAACTACTCCACCAGCCAGAAGATCTCCCGGCCCGGCGACACAGACGACTCCCGGAGTGTCAATAGTGTGCTTCTCTTCACTATCCTGAATCCCATCTACTCCATCACGACGGTGAGCCAGCGGGGCCCAGCTGTGCATCAGAGCTGGGAGGAAGGGCCAGGAGAGTTGCCTGCAGTCTGAACTGACCTCCTTCCTCTTGTCTGTGTTTGGTTCCTCAGGATGTCCTTTATACCATCTGCAACCCTTGTGGCCCTGTCCAGAGAATTGTCATCTTTCGAAAGAATGGAGTCCAGGCCATGGTGGAATATCCTTGGTGACTGGAATGTGATGAGCTGCTCCAGGGCAAGTGGCCGGGGGCACTTGAACCGCCTTGGCTTGCCCAGGTGACATTTCAGTGCCCGATATACTTTGCTGTTGGGAGCAGGGAGCTGGAGGGTGCAGCTGTAGTGCTCACTCAGCCAGGCTGACAGGCACGCACACTCCAGAGTCATTTAATTGCTAAGGCTTAGTTTTCTCATCTATAATACGGGCACAGTTGACATTACTTGTTTTCACAAGATTTGTTGGAGCTTGTTTTTTCAAACCTTAAAAGTATTAGAGGAATGAGAGCTGTTAGTGGCTGCTGGTTGTTCACACATTATGTACATCAAGTGAGACCAAACTTGGCCATTGTAACTCATTCCAGTCTGACTGGCCTCCTCAAGTGAGGGCCTGCAGCTACTAGGAAATTCGTTTTATTTCCAGGTCCCCTGGCAGAGGGCTGGTGCTGGTAGGAGGCTAGCACATTTTTCTCCCTTTAAGACCATTTCCTTAACTTTTGTTCACATTTGACTCCGTGCAGAGTGCTCAGCGAGCCAAAGCGTCCCTCAATGGGGCTGACATCTATTCTGGCTGTTGTACCCTTAAGATTGAATACGCTAAGGTGAGTGAGCCTGGGGCTGCCGGTAGACTGACTGCCTAGGGGGTAACCCCCCACCACCAAGGGTCCTGAGGTCTCCAGGTCTGGCCGAGGGCCCAAGACCATCCAGGACTGGGGGCAGGGCTAGCACCCTGACCTCCTGACTGCTGGCAGATGATGCTGCTCCTTGTAGCATTTCAGGTCAAGTTACTGTTGCCTCAGACTGACGTTCTTTCTCTCTGTGTGTAGCCGACGCGTCTGAATGTATTCAAGAATGATCAGGATACCTGGGACTATACCAACCCCAACCTCAGTGGACAAGGTAACCTTGATGCCTTCTTTGTCTCTCACTTCCCCACTGCCATGCCCGTCAGGCGACTCGCACACTCCTAGGTCGGCCTCAGTGTCATGTAATGCCATTGGACTTAGGGCAGATCAGGGGAGGAAGCAGGTGGTCTTCCGTTGCCACCAACTGGTGGCTCCTGCTTTGGCACCCAACCAGGAAAAGAATGGGGCCATGGGGGCTGAGTCCTTGCACAGGGAGCTTATCTGTAAGCTATTCCTTTGTCTGAACTCCTGGCCTGTGGGCCACTGGCCCTGGGGATAGCCCCTCCTGTCTTTGCAGGCAGTTTGATCCCTGGGCCAGGTCAGGGGTGACGCAGTGAGCTCAGAGGTCATTGGGTCTTTCCCACTAAGCTCATCTTATTGAAGGGGAAACAAGACCCAGAGGAATTTAAAAGGATGGTGCGCCCAGGGTGCTGCAGAGCTGAGGATTGACCAGGTCCTCTGGCTATCTTTTACAAAGTATCCCACTGCCTCTCCTCAGGACCTGAGGGCACATGTGGGTCAGCCTAGTAATGGGGTTTTCCAGCTCAGAAAGGCAGGAACCACTTGGACTGCCCTGGGCCTGGAGGGAAGGAAGACAAAATAGTGACCACTGATTTCCTCACCAAAGAAGTGGGGGCAGGGCGGGAAGTGTCCGGCCCTGGAGCCTGCAGGTTTAGGCTCAGGCCTTGTGCCGGGGTGGGAAAGAAGGCATTTTCTGTCCTCAGTTGGGGGTAGGAGAGAGGCCTGCTAGCCTGCCAGGGCGTCCTCTGCCTCGTTGCTCGGCCAGTAGCACCCGTGGAGGATGGAGCAGCTAGCCCTTCATTCACCAAGACTTAGCTGACTTCTTGGTTGGAGAAGGCAGGGAATGGTGCTGCCGCCCTGGGGGCTCCTCCCCTCTGCTGGGCCCATGAGCGGAGGCCTTGGGTCTCCCCTGGGGAAGCGGAGGGGCAGGGTGGGCATGCGGGCGTCTCCTGGGGCGCCCGCCCCGCTCTCCTCATCATGGTGGGCCATCCTCTGTTCCTGAGGCCAGCCCCCCTTTTGTGAATCCCAGAGTGAGCAATGGCATTACATGAGTTGTGACAGAAACATGAAAAGCCCAGCCTTCTTCTCCAAGTACATTAGTAGAACACGTGCAGAGCGGCGGGGCGGGGAGCCGCCCTGGCGCTCGGAGTGAGCGGGGGTTTGGCAGCCCCCCTGGGGCCCGTGCCCTTGGCAGCTCTGCCTTTGTACATCGCTCATGAACACACAGGGTAGGACCCCCTAGCTCTTCTTGGAGAGAACACGCAGCCTCCTTCAGGTACCAGAAACAGCTGCAGATTTGAGCTCACTACATCAAGAACACCACACCGCGCTCCAAGGAACAGCTACAAGCACAGAGACAGAGAGACAGAGACAGAGAGAGAGACTCAACAGGGCGGCAGCCGCTGCTTTTTTATTATGGTGGTTTGTTTTTTTTTAAATAAAGTCAAAACCAAACTTTGAACCCACGAATGTACACAGGAGTAGGAAACACAGAACAGAGGTTTTCTCCTAACCAGCCCAGCGGCGCTCTTTTCGGAGAACGGTTCATAAGCCGAAGTAGATTCCAGTGGCCCTCCAAGACTATAGGATCCTCCTCTCCATTCCTCGCCATATTGGTTGTTAAGTTTTTTGGTTTGGGGAGGGCTTTTTTTCCTTTTTTCCGTTTTGGTTTTTCTCTGCAGTCATCGGCTGCCCACCTAATACGTACCAACTGGAGATTCAAACCCCAACCAAACCCAACAAGGGTCAAACAGCTCAGAACACACAGCGATGTCCCGGCGCGTAGCTGGGGCGCGTCCCGAGGCACAAGGCGGGCATAGCGGGGCCATGGGCACACTCGCATAACAGACGCGCCAGACACGTACACGGAGAGCCAGCTACACAGGCAGCAGCCGCACCCCTTCACCGCACCCCACCGCAGCACACAAATGTTGAGGAGGCGCAAACACGGAGGAAGGAACACTTTCCACTTATACACCACTCTTGGCCACTTTCTGATCTCTGCTGAGGACAGAACATCTGTGAGCCAGTTTTTGTTTAATCAGAAAATTGACTTGAAAAGAAAAATAAATTGAAAAAAAAAATTGTAGCGGATTTGTAACGTAAATTGTATTTATGACTGTAAAACCATGTGATGCAGGGTCGCAGTGTATGTTTGATGGGACGCCATCTTTCAGAACTGTGCTAACTCACTGTTGAAGCGTCCAATGGTAAGAGAAAATACAGATTTGTTTTATGTGACAAATGGACATTGTACTCTGTACTGCTGTAAGTAGCCCTTTTCCATCTTTGTAATGACTGACTGTTGGAATAAACCCAGTATGAAATGCAGCTGGCGGGACGGCAACATTGTATGGCTCCGGGAACGTTCACGCCTTGTCCATGATTGCTCATTTTAACGGATTCCTGCTTTTGTCAGCCTCCTTGGGGCTGGGGGGAGGGGGTGTTGGGACCTTGTGTTCTTAGCTTTTACTCCCTAGTGGCCACGTGAGGTGGATTCAGGGACTGTACCCAAGTACCCGAGGAGTGCAGAGAGATTTGAGTGGGGTTGGGGGAGGCGAGGTGGGCCTTCTAGGGCCCCTCTGTCTCTGTGCAGTTTTGAGATCTCCATTTTTTTCCCCCAAACTTCTTTGGGGCCACTGTTTGTCAGGCAGTTGGAGATCCATTAACCATTTGGTACCTTTTGTACCATCCCTCGCTTCCTATAATCTAGGATGGAGTAGGGATTAAGGTGTATCACAGAGGAAAGGGGGCAGAGACCCTCTATTAAAACATAGGGTGTCTGGCCCATCGATAGGAACAGGGATCGCATGCCCCCCTGCCCTCCCTCCCCAAGGCTCCCTGAGCCTTTGGAAGAACTGAGTTTGTCTCTTAACAGACACAGCGGCTTCAGGCTTCAGGCCTCTGCCCGTATCCTCATGTGGCCTTAAGAGGAAGCCAGCTCCCAGCAGCCCCTGGGATAGCAGGCTCAGTATGGTTTGCCATACCTGGGGCTTTGAGAATTCTTACTACAGGTGCAGAGGCCCCTAGAGAGGGAAGGAAGTCCCCCCTTCCTCCTGGATGAGGTTCTGACAATTGTCTCTGTCCACAGGTGACCCTGGCAGCAATCCGAATAAGCGTCAGAGACAGCCTCCTCTCCTGGGAGATCACCCCGCAGAATATGGTGAGGGCAGGGGGTTCCCCTCCGTGGACTCCCGTGGCTCATGCGACCCTGCCCGCCGTCCGCCCCGCAAATTCTCACCCGTCCTCCCTCTCTTTCCTTCCCACCCCCCAGGAGGGCCTCACGGTGGGTACCACAGCCATTACCATGATGAGGGCTACGGGCCCCCTCCACCTCACTACGAAGGGAGAAGGATGGGCCCACCAGTGGGGGGCCATCGTCGGGGCCCAAGCCGATATGGCCCTCAGTATGGCCACCCCCCGCCCCCTCCCCCACCGCCTGAGTATGGCCCCCACGCAGACAGCCCTGTGCTGATGGTATATGGCCTTGACCAGTCCAAGATGAACTGTGACCGGGTATTCAATGTCTTCTGTCTCTACGGCAATGTGGAGAAGGTAAGCTAGGGACAGGGCAGATAGGCAAGCCAGCAGCTAGCACAGGGGTCCTAACAGCCTATGGGGTCATTGCTAGGGCCCTGAGGGTTGGGCTGGCCCAAGGCCCTAGAGCAGTGAGTGGAGGCTGAAGTGGGCCTTAGCCCATGGCAGAGAGGGTCAGAAAGAACTTTGGCGTTCAGGGAACAGGGTGGGAACCCTAGGTCAGCTTCTGATTTCTTTTTTTTCACTTTTGGGCAAATGACTTAGCACCAGGGACGAGGAGCCACGAGGTGGCTGGCCCTCTCGGTTCTCAAGTGCGGCCCTTTGACTGAATCCAAACTTTGCAAAAAGTCCCCTTAATAAAAGGATTTCTTCTGTAAAACTTGGACTCAGTCAAAAGGCCACACCTGAGGACCTAGAGGGCCACAGGTTCCCTACCCCTGATAATCTCTTGGGGCCTCAGTTACCTGATCTGTAAAATGAGGAGGGATAGACTAGAAGATCTAGGAAGTCTCTTGTAGAATAATAAATCCCTTCTGATCTGGGGGGGTGAGGGGGACTCATTGGGTACAGTGTGTGCTTCTCAGGCATTCTTAGCAAGCATGGGCAGCCCATGGTGGGTCTGCTTTTTAGGTTTAGGACAGGCATCCCTGTGTTATGGTGGGGCCCAGGTCCTTTGGGTAAAGCCTGCTGACGGGCAGGGCCCTTTCCTCTGTGTAGGTAAAGTTCATGAAGAGTAAGCCGGGGGCTGCCATGGTAGAGATGGCGGATGGCTATGCGGTGGACAGAGCAATCACTCACCTCAACAACAACTTCATGTTTGGACAGAAGCTGAACGTGTGGTGGGTCATCCATCCCACTAGTCCCTTTTCCTGAGCCCTGTGGCTCTGCAGGGTCTCCATTCCAGGGGGCTGTTGGCAGGCAGAGGACCCTTGCCAGTCTGCGTTAAGGAAGAGGGGCGTGGGTGGGTCAGCAGAAAAGGGGGAGAGGCAGTAAGGGCAAAAAGAAGCCAGACTATCCTAACTTTGGGGTGTACGAGCTGGAGAGAAAGTGGGTACCACAGTGGGGACCTTCTTCTAACCTTGGCCTCCAAGCAGCATTTTGGGAAACTTGGGCTTTCTTTCCAAGCATTTCACCAAAAGTGCTAAGGAAAGAGGGGTGGGAAGGGCATACTGCGAGTGGTGCAGGTATTACCATGGCATGACTGGAGGCAGGCCACTGAGTCACTGCTGGAAGGTCTGTGCCCAGCTCCCAGGGTACCTCTGGATACCAGGGGAGAGAGGGAAGCAGGAAGGAAGGTTTTGAGAGGGTGGGCGTTGGCACCCTGGGGGGAGAGGAGGGGAGATGTATGCCACAGAGATGATGGAACGAGCCTTTTTGTCTTTCCTCTCTCTCCCCTTCCCCCATTCCTCAATAGCGTTTCCAAGCAACAGGCTATCATGCCAGGCCAGTCCTATGGCCTGGAAGATGGGTCGTGCAGCTACAAAGACTTCAGTGGCTCACGCAACAATCGGTTCTCAACCCCGGAGCAGGCAGCTAAGAACAGGATCCAGCACCCCAGCAATGTGCTGCACTTCTTCAACGCACCCCTGGAGGTTACTGAAGACAACTTCTTTGAGGTGAGGAAGGTGGTGGTGGGTCTGTCCTCCCAGGCTTGCTGGTTCTCCAGCCACATGGCTCTTGATCCCTCCTTCCAACCCTGGGGGTTGGAAACACTGCACAGATGCCTCACAAATGGGAACACCTAAGCACCTCTGAGGGCCAATAAGTTGTGTAAGATAGGGCAGCCAGCTGTCGTGCAGGGTCCAACCTGAGCCAGCCACGTGGCCCAGCCTGAGGCTTGTCGAGAGCAGTGGGGTGGGGCCAGAAATTAGGCCATCATGGAACTGCTGTAGGCTTAGTGGCTAGAGAGAGGAGTGGCCTTAGAGTCAGGAAGACTTACCTCGGGCATAGTGCCCTCACCTTTAGTGGCCTCAGAGGTGCTTTCCAGCTGAGTCTGGGGTCCTATGAAGACTGCCTAGACCAGCTTTCTGAAAAGCTGGCCCCAAACCTTGGGGCTATGGGGCCTGCACCTCTAAGACTCGGTTTCCTTTCTTTGCTTTCCAGATCTGCGATGAGCTAGGAGTGAAGCGGCCTGCTTCGGTGAAGGTGTTTTCAGGGAAAAGTGAGTGAGGGGAGAACCCCTTGGGTGGGGTGATGGGTGCACAGCTCTTGTCTCTTGCCTCTAGCCTCGAACTGGCCCTTTTCCTTCTGACCTTTTGGGTGCTTTGATTGCAGGTGAAAGAAGCTCCTCAGGCCTATTGGAGTGGGAGTCCAAGAGTGATGCTCTGGAGACCCTGGGCTTCCTGAACCATTACCAGATGAAGAATCCAAGTGAGTGGTCCAGACCCCAGCCACAGGCTATGGGAGGGAAGGGCTGGGAAGGGCCCCAAGGCCTGCTGGCAATGTCCTACATGCTCCTAAAAGCTGATGGGCAGGAGGGGGGAGCCGGGGGGGGGGGGGAGTGACACGCCTGGGAGGGCCAGGAGTTGTCACACTCTCTGCTGCCTTAGACTGAGTGTCAGGCTGGGCTGTGGTTAGGGAAGCCCCAGGCTTTCAAGTCTGAGAACAGTCCACTGTTTCACCCAAGTGGGAGTTGTCGGGGCCTGTCAAGTTGGTGGGGAAGCTGGAAGTGTGCCTTGGCATCCCAAGCTGCCATACACTTCTGAGAATCCTTGCACTTCTGTGCAAGCTGGGGCTTGTTTCCCAGAAGTTGTAGAGGGGCCTTTGGTAATGTGCTCTGAGGAATCCTCCCCACCCTGACCTGCTGTGTCCTTTTTCTCCCCTAGATGGTCCGTACCCCTACACCCTGAAGCTGTGTTTCTCCACCGCTCAGCACGCTTCCTAATTGCACACCCAGGATGAGGCCCAAGCAGGAAGCCCACCCTCCTTTCCTTTCTGCTGTTTTTTGCAAAGTTCTTGTATTCCTTTTCTAATGCTAGTTTTAGTAGAGGCTTAACCATAATGGAAACCCTGCAAGTTTGGAGAGAGGGGCGTCTCCATCTCCAAGATTAACCTTCACTTTTTGAAATTATTGTACATGTGATTTTTTTTTCCTGTTCATACATTTGTGCTGCCTGCCCCTGTGCTTCCAGCACATTTCAATAAAATTGTTTGGAAAATAAACGTTGTGGTTATATGACCAAAGAGTGTTTTTTCATCCTTCCTACTCAACGTGGAAGCCCAACTGCGATCTGTAGTCAAGGCTGGGACTGTCTTGGCTTTTGTATTTGCATTTCTAGTGCTGAGCAGTCAGTAAACATTTCATAAGCGCCTGTTTGTGCCAAGCTGGCAGTGTGCTGAGCCTTGGGGACAGAGAGGCGAAGGACAGTCCCTACCCTCAATCAGCTTGGCTGCAAACATTCAAAAAGTACTGACAAGCTGGTACAGGTAATGGAATTAAGAGACGACCTTGTGGATTCCTGTGGAAGAGGGGTTTTAGTTGGGACCTAAAGGAAGCCCAGAGAGAGAAGAGGCAAAGGTGAGAGGGAAGGTCTTGTTCACAGACCAGCCATGGCCAGTGTCGGGCTCAGAGAGGACTGCTTGGGGAGTATGGCCCAAGAAGGCCAGAACCATGGGAGGGGCCAGGCTAGGAAGGGCTTTGGAGGCCAACCAGCATTTTCTATTTGCTCTTGGAGTGTGTGTGTGTGTGTGTGTGGTGTGTGTGTGTGTGGTGTGTGTGTGTGTGTGTGTGTGTGTGTGTTGCTGGTGGGCAGGCTGAAGCAGACCCCTCAGCAGCTATTGCAGTCATCCAGGGGTGAGGTGGTGACAGTGTCAGGGGAGAGAAGGGGGGTATTTGGGAGATAATATGACAGTCCGTAGCAATAGCTTGGATATGGGAGTGAGACAGAAATCCGGAATGACCCCTAGGTGGGAGGAGTCAGACTGAGAATGGTGCTGCCCTCTATAGTAATAAGCAAGGTAGGACTTAGGGGGGAGATAATGAGTTTTGTTTTGTACACTGAATTTAAGATGTCTATTGGACATCCAGTTTGAACTTTCTAAAAGGCAGATGTGAGACCAGGTCAGCAGAGAAGTTGGGTGGGAAAGGCAGATTTGAGAATCATCAGCACTGAGACAGTCATTAAAGCCATGGGAGCCAGTGAGATCATCACCAAATGAAGCAGTGTGGAGGGCGATGAGAAGGGCTCTTCAGGACAAAGTCTGAGGGATACCTACAGTCAGACAGTGCAAAGGAGAGCAGGAGCGGTCAGCATGGTGAGAGAGAGAGAGAGAGAGTGATCCATGGTATGAAAGGCTGCAGAGAGGTCAAGGACAATGAAGACTGAGAAAATGCCACTGGATCTGGGGATTACAAGGTCACTGGTCACTTTGGAGAGAGCAGCACCAGTGGAATGAAAAGGTTGGAAGTCAGATTATAAGGGGTTAAGAAAAGGGTGGAGGCAGCATCAGTAGCAGATGGCCTTTCTGAGGAGTTGAGAAGAAAAACAGAATGATAGCCAGGAGAGAAGGATCACGTGAGGGTTTTTTCAGGATGTGGGAGGCATGTTTGTAGGCAGGAGGGAATGAGCCAGTAGAAATGTGAGGCACAGCTAGGTGGTGCAGTGGTTAGAACACTGGCCCTGAAGTCAAGAGGACTGTGTGACCCTGGGCAAGTCACTTAACCCCAGTTGCCCTCCACCCCCCACCCCCTCACCCCCCCAAAAAGAAAGTGAGTGGGAATGACCAAACTGAGCGGTTGGGATGTTTGAGGGGTAGCCCATGCTCTGGGGAGAATCTGGACCCAACAGCTACCAGCATTCTGATTGGGTGGTAGCTATGAAAAGCATGAACCTCAAAGGAAGAGGGAAGGGGAGACACATAGAAGGGGTGATGGACTGTAAGAAGTAAAGGCGCAGCCAGGACTGGAAAGGGGAGCCAGGGAGGCTTTGCCATCAGACAGGAGCCAGGCAGATAGAAGGCGAGGCAGAGATTGAGGGAGAACAGAAGCTTGTTGCCTATGGAGCAGACATTCCAGAGGGCACAGGAAGGAGTGGGTGCAGGGAGGGAATGAGAAATGGGGGGGGGGGCTCAGAATCACTGGAATATGCGGTAGAGATGACCAGGTATGAGAATGTCCATCACTGATAGAGGGCACCAGAGGAAGCTGGACGGAAGGCAGGACAAGGTGGAAAGCCAGTCAGATGGACATGGGGCAGCAGGAGGTGGGCTAAGGCGTGGTTCCTCCCTCCTCTCCCTTTTTGCCTTCTTCCTTTCCTCCTTTTTCCTCCCTCCCCTCTTTTTTCCTTCCCTCCTTTCCTTTTTTCCTTCCTTCTCTCCCTTGCTTCCTTTTTTCCTTCCTCCCCTCCTTTTTGCTCTCCTCCCTTTCTTCCTTCTTTCCTTCCTCTCCTCCCTTTCTTCCTTTTTTCCTTCCTCCCTTCCCTTTCTTTTGTCTTTCTTCCCTCCCTTCCTTTTTTCCTGCCTCCCTTCCCTTTCTTCTTTCTTTCCTTCCTTCCCTCCCTTCCTGTTTTCTTTCCTCCCCTCCCTTTCTTCCTTTTTCTTTTCCCTCTTTCCGTTCCTTTGTTTCTCCTCCCCTCCCCCCATGGATTCGGTCACTGGGTGGAGGTGGGGAAGGGGGCTCCCCCAGGCCCCGCCCACTGGCCACAGTGGAACTTCACTACACACTTTCTTCTTCCGCTCTCGCATCTCCCGAGGCTTGGAGGGGGAGGGGCTCCGCCGCCAGGCCGCGTTTCACTCTCCAGCCCTCGGGTTAGAGGCGCCCGACAGCTGCCAGGGGGCGGGGTCATGAAGAAGCCCCGCCCTCATCCCCGCCTGCCCTCACTCGCCATGGCGACAGAACGCCTTCGGGACGTGCTGACGGCCGGGAAAACAAGATGGCGCCCTGCCCTTCCTCAACACAGCCACAGCGCTCCGCCCCCGCCCGCCGCCGGGCGCTGCCCTCACCCAAGATGGCGGGGTCCCCAAAATGGCCGCTGGGTCCCGCCCTCTTCCAATATGGTGTCACCCCGCCCCAGTCTGCACAGTGTAGTCATGATGGCGGCTGCGGCCTCTGCCTCCCGCGGGCTCCGGAGCCTCCTGCTGCGGCGTGAGTCCCCACCGTCCGGGGGCTCGGGGTGGAGGTCGTGACCTCGGGGCGGCAGGCGGGCGGGGCAGGGGCCCAGGACCGAGCCCTGCCCCCGTCGATCTAGCCGTGACCTCTCCCCTACTTCGTGTCCAGACCTGGCTCCTCCGCTCCCCAGGCGTGACCTCTCACCCACATTAGCGTCCTTCCCCGGCCCTCGGGCTGACCCTTCCCCACCCTCGTGTAGCCCCCAACCCACCCCCTCCCAGCCTCCCGGGAGCCCCCTCCCCCTGCCTCCCGTCTCCCCTTCCCCCCCACCTCTCCCAGCCTCCCGGGAGGGTAACTGACTGGGGTCTCTCTCTGCCCCCCACCCCCCAAACCCAGGACTGGCGGCCAGCCACATGCCACACCTCAGCTATCGGCCTGTGAGCTCCTCTGAGGAGCTCTCAGCGTCCCAGGCAAAGGAACACAACTATGAGTCCCTCAAAGTGACCGAAGCTGGAGACCACATCCTGCATGTGCAGCTAAACAGGCCGGAAAAGAGGAATGCGATGAACAGGGCATTCTGGAGGTCTGGGCTGGGGGGGGGCGTGTCGGGGGGAGCTGGGAGGGCTTCCTGGCAGGGGGAGGCCAGTGGCCAACTGAGTCTGTAGTGTCTGAGGCCCTCCAAGTGCCCTCCAGTGACCTGGGCATCATTCATTCACTCAGCAACAGTTAGTAAGCAAGTAACCTCCCAGTGCCTACTAGCATTGTGCTGTGTTAAGGGGAGGCAAGTTAGCATAGGAAAACCCTCCCGGTGTGGGCCATCTCTCTGCCACTGAGAGTGTTACCTGAGAACTAGGATGTGTCAGACAGGACCTGAGCTCAAGGTGTTCTGGCTCCAAGGCCAGCTGCTTATGCATTGGGCCACCTGGTTCTGTTATAGAAGACCAGGTCTTGCTCTTGGGTGGTAAGTGTGCCATGGGGTGGGGGGCAGGAAGGAGGCTTTAAAGGATGGGTAAGAATTGAGCCGACCACTAGGAGGAAGGGAGATCACAGGGCAGCCGAGTTTGGAGAGGTGGAGTAGCCCAAGCAGAGGGAGGTGGGGTAGGCCAAGCAAAGCGGGTGAGGTAGCCCAAGCAGAGGGGGTGAGGTAGCCCAAGCAGAGGGAGTGAGGCCCAGAAGAACAGCAAGTATCCGAATGAGCTGCACTAGGGGCAGGCAGCAAGGAGACCCCTGAGAATCTGTGGGGCCAAGTCAGGCCCAGAGGTCACCTTGTTCAGGAAGAAGTGGGGTTGGAGGAAGGGAAGGACTGGCCAGGGGGGTTGTTCTCAGATAGTGACTGTGGGGAAAAGCTTGATCGGGCATTTTAAAAGCACCTACTGTGTACCAGGTGCTGTGCTAGGTGCGCAGGGGGCCTGTGAGGTAGAGAAAAGAAAAGGCATCGCTAGAACGGGCACTGAGGCAACAAAGTAGCAGGTGCGGCTGGGTTCTCTCCCACCCGTGACCTGGTCTCTTCACAGGGAGATGGTGGAATGTTTCAGCAAGATTGCTCAGGACCCCCACTGCAGGGTTGTGGTGCTCTCAGGGGCTGGAAAGATGTTCACGTCAGGTACTTTCTGAGCCCTGAGTTCTGCCTCCGCCACCACCCCCAGAGCACAGGCTTCTGGCCTGGAGTGACTTCCCTACTCTTCCTCAAAAAGCTAAAAAGGGTCCCCTATAACTCCCTCAGCTTCTCAGGGTGAGCCCCTCTCCCAGCCTTGGGCTCCTCGGAGCTGTTCCTGGCCTGGGAGTCTCCCCCCTCATTTTACTTGGGGGAAACTGAGGCCTAGATGAGGGAAGTGTGTCCTGTGGTCACAGGTAGCAACCCCAGGATTTGAACTCAGGTCGTCTGACTCCCAGGTTCTACACTCTTCACTCAAGCCTGTGCCTGGACCAGAGGGCATGCCCTGGCGGGGGGGGGGGGGAGCCACTCTTCATTCTCATTTTCCCAGGTTTAGGGTCATAACGTTACAGTTAGGGCTCAGAGGGATCTCAGAAGATGCTAGTGAGTGATTGATGATAGCGCACAGCCATCTGTTTTGTTAAGGCCTTTAAGGTGCCTTCCTCACCTATCAGGGTAGATGAGTGAAAATATTATCTCCATGTAACAGATGGGCAAACTGAGGCACAGGGGTCATGCAGCCAGCGTCAGAGATCGGACTTGAACTAGGGTCTCCTGGGTCTGAGAAGCCATGGGGGGCGGAGAGGTGGACTTGGGGAGCCGCGATTCCATGCCATCCCTTCCCCTCCCTCCAGGCCTTGACCTCATGGATATGGGTGGGGAGTTGTTCCAGCCACAAGGGGAGGACACAGCCCGCATCAGCTGGAATTTACGCCACTTGATCACCAGATACCAGGAATCCTTCACTGTCCTTGAGAAGGTGGGCTTGTCCTCTGCCCTGGAAGAAGGGGCAGGCCCAGCCCGGCCCTCTGGTGGTGGTTGGGTGAGGGTCATGGGCAGCTCTCTCAGCTCACCCTCTCCATCCCTTTCAGTGTCCCAAGCCGGTCATCGCTGCTATCCACGGTGGTTGCATTGGGGGAGGTGAGTCCCTGGCCGGGACCCTGAGCCCTCCTGCCTCTGGTGGTTTGACAGAAGGGGGAGGAGCTTGGTGAAGGCCACATAAGAACCCAGGGCCTGGTCTTTCTGCTCCAAATCCAGGGCCCTTTTCACCACGCCACCATGCCAACCCAAAGAGTCATGTTTTTGGTGGCCCGGTAATTTCTTGAACCACTTTTCCTGTGCCTTCCAGGAATGGATCTCATCTCCGCCTGTGATATCAGATACTGTGCCCAGGATGCCTGGTTCCAGGTGAAGGTGGGTCCAGACCCGGGCCGAGGGAACCCCCTGGGTAAATGACTGGAAGGTTCAGCCCTTCTCCCTTAATCTCGCACACAGGAGGTGGACATTGGTCTGGCTGCGGATGTGGGGACGCTGCAGCGTCTGCCCCGGATCATAGGGAGCCAGAGGTGTGGAGGGCAGGCGGCAGGGCTTTGGGGAGGAGGGAAAAGGAAGGGGTGGGCTCCGCGTCAGAGTCTCACTCAACACAACGTCCCCTCCCCCAGCCTGGTGAACGAGTTGGCCTTCACTGCCCGAAAGATGATGGCCAGTGAAGCTCTGAGCAGTGGGCTGGTCAGGTAAGCCCCCAGACCTCGCCCTCCTCCGTGCCCACTCCAGGAGGGAATTTCAGGATTCCACATCCGGGGAGGGGACTCGAGAGTGCCCGGTTCCCCGCCATGACTCAGTGAGTCAGGGTCCGGGCCCTGCAACCCTACTCTGGAATCCAGGGGTGCTGGGTAATTGCTGTGGGTTCCAGACACAGCCCCCCCCCCAATCTCCTCCCAGGGGATCCCCCCAGGCCCGTTCAGAACCAGAACTCTGGGCCTCCCCATCCAGGCATTGTTGTCTTCTCTTCTCAGCCTAGGCTTTGAGGAGAGGCGTGTCCTCACTGCTCACTCCCCTAAACCCCTGTGGGCCCATAGGCTTAGCTGACTTGAATCCTCTCCACCTACCCTCAGCCGAGTGTTTCAGGACCACGCGTCCCTCCTGGCCGCAGCCTTTGCTCTGGCCACTGAAATCTCCAGCAAGAGCCCCGTCGCCATACAGGGCACCAAAGTCAACCTGCTCTACTCCCGGGACCACTCCGTGGCTGAAGGTCTCAACTTCATGGTGAGCCCCTGTCCCCCCAGGCCTTTCAGCCAGGCCCCCCAGCACCAGGGCGTTCTGCTGACAGCTCTCCCATGATGCCGAGACTCTTCCCAGAGCGGCCAGTCAGCCAGCGTTTAGCACACCCTACTATGTGCCAAGTGCTGGAGATGTGAAGACGAGACAGGCCCTGCCCTCAGGGAGCTCCCAATCCAACAGAAGAGGCAGCGTGCCAACATCTGAGTCCAGACAGGGCACAGACTGGGTACAGGGAGAGCTGGAGAATGAAGGGGGATTGGAGCCGGGGCTGAAGGAAGCCAGAGGGCTGAGGAAGTGGGCGTGAGGAGGGAGAGTGGCCCAGGCCAGCCCGGGACGGCGGAGAGGATGTGGGGACTGGAGCAGAACAGAATGGCCCAGCTCTCCCAAGGGTTTAAAGCCAGAGGATTTCCTATTGCACCCTGGAGTCAGTGAGCTGCAGGGCAGAGGATGTGGAGGGAGAGAGTCTGGAGGGGTGGGCGCAGGGCGTGGGCGCAGGGGAGGAGAACGAGCTGCCTTGGTTAAGATGTCCACTGGATGTCCTGTCCCAGCCTTGGAAGCCCCCCCACGCAGAAGACACCTGCTCCCCATTCCGTTTACTAAACTCACTTAATAAACGTTTATTATTAATCTCTCCTGGCCTGGACCGCATCCATTCACACTGGCCTTCCCTGCGCCCTTCCTGCCCCTGCAGGTGCCACTAGGGGGCGCCCTAGTGCACAGAGCACTGGGCCAGAGGCAGGGAGATTCATCTTCCTGAGTTCCTCAGTCACTAACGTGTTAGCTGTGTGACCCTGGGCAAGTCACTTCACTCTGCTTGCCTCAGTTTCCCCATCTGTAAAATGAGCTGGAGAAGGAAATGACAAACTGCTCCAGTATCTCTGCCAAGAAAACCCCCAGTGGGGTCCCGAAGAGTCAAAGACGACTGAATGACCAAGCTACCTTCTGATTGGTCTCGTCCCTTCTCCTTCCTCCCTCCAGACTAGTTGGAACATGAGTATGCTGCAGACCAAAGACGTAAGCAAGTCGATCCAGGCCGCCTTGGAGAAAAAGGACCTGAAGAGTGTGGCCTTCTCCAAGCTCTGAGTGCTCTTTGCCCCGTCCCCCCCGCCCCCTCCCCATCCCGGAGATTGTCCTACGCCCCCCTCACCCTGCTGCAAAGGGCTTTGCAGCTCACAGTAGCCTTTCTTAGAAACTGTCCTCTGACCCCCAGGGGGGCAGACCCCTCTCATGGAGGGGGCCACTCACCCACGGTCACCCAGGGCAGCAGTTTTGGGGAGGACGTGGAGAGTGGAGCTGCATCCCTCTGCCTCCACGCCACACGGGACCCACTGCCCTTCAGAAGGGCATGCGTGTGTGGTGAGGTTGGGGGGGGACGACCTATCTCTGCAATAAAAACATTCTGTGAACACAGTGAGTCCAAGTGCACTTTGCTGGTCCTGGGTGTGTGCTGAGGGAGGGGCTGGGAGGGGGCCAGATGGTAGAGGTGAAAAGACACTTTTGTTGGCTCTCAGCGGGGATACTTCCTCCTGCCCCACCCACCTGTTTGTTCTGGGCTGGCAGCCCGCCCATTTGTCTAATAGAGGTTACAGCCTCTGGAGATTACCATCAAGATAAGACCTGGCTGTGGTCAAAGGTCTTGGGGTATCTTCCTCTTCTCTGGGGCACAAGAAGTGTAGGAAACTCCTAGATCCAGCCTGGAGTGAGTCGGGGGTGTGGGGCCAAAGTCCTCCTGATGGGGGTGTGGGTGTAGGTGTGCGGGGCATCTGTCCAAACAAGGGAGTGGGTGGGAGGGGAGGGGAAGGAAGGAAGGGGTATCCATCCCCCACAGCCCTGCTGCTGCCACACCCAGGACACCCCTTCCCTGCCTTCCCTCGGTATAAGAGGCATCGCTGGCACCCTCCCTGCCCTACTCCAGACTCCAGCTCTCACTCCTCCACTGGCAGCGCCCTTCTATCCACACCAACATGGCTTTCATGCCCCCTCCTGGCTATCAGCCCTACTATAACCCGGTGAGTGACCAGCCAACTAACCCAAGCTCATGTGCTCACACTCACAAACCCAAACTTCCCCAAATCTGCTCTCTCATCCCCATGATAACCTTGGGTGGTGAGGAGAGTGGACCGGTGACAGCCAGGCCCTTCCTCCCTTGTCTTGGGGACTTGTAAGACCTCAATTCGGGGGCTTACTAACACCTGCCACTTTCTCCCTACTCAGACTCTCCCATACAATAGAGAGATCCCAGGGGGGCTGCGCCAAGGAATGTCCATCTACATCCAAGGAGTGGCCAATGACCACATGAAGAGGTGAGGGCTGCGGGGGGGGGGGGGGGGAGGAGAAAAAGGGGTGGGGGGGGTGGGGGGGGGGTAGGGGTCCCTGGACGGAGGTCGCTGGGAAAAATGCTAGCTATGGATCCACAGGACCAGGGTTCTAATCTTTGGCCTATCACTTAACTACCTGTGTGACCTTTAAATCACTCCCCTTCTCTGAGGACTAGTTTCATAATCTGTGAAATGTGAAGGCTGGGTTAAATGGAAAGGAGGGAACAAGCATTCATTAAGCACCTACTGTGCGTCAGGCACTGCGTTACGCACCTCTCAGCTTAGACATCTCCTTAGAGGGTCTCCAAGGGCGTAGCAGGCTCTGGTCCGATGGCTCTGGCCCCTGGGGAAGGAGAGAACCGAAGCCTAGAACTGAGCCCCGACGGGCTCACGTTGGGAGGCCGAAGGAACTGCAGGGAGGGAGGCCGAGATCTTTCCAGAGGAGGAGGCAGTCAGCGCGGAGCTGGGAGGCTCAGCCGCTCCAGGAGCTGGGGGCTGCTGGGGGCTGCTGGGGGCTGCTGGGGGCTGCTGGGG